AGGAGCCCAGAATGGGTCAAAGTGAAATGAGAGATTTGGGGACTTTTTGGGATTTTTTTTGGGAAAAACCAGAAAAAATGACAAAAAATGGTGAAAAAATGACGAAAAAATGGCGAAAAATGAGCCCAAAATGGCCCCAAAATCAGCCCAAAATGAGCCCAAAATGACCCAAAAATGGGACAAAATGGCCCCAAAATCAGCCCAAAATGACCTAAAATGGCCCCAGAATGACTAAAAATGCCCCAAAATAACCAAAATGGCCCAAAATGGCCCCAAATGGCGGCAGCGGAGCCGCGCTGCTCTTCCTCCTCACCGCCGCCATCGTCATCGCCGTGTCCTGCTGCCACCCGCCCATCCCCGAGGTCCACGTGAGTCTCGGGAGGTTTTTTGGGGAAAAAACGGTGAAAAAATGGTGAAAAACGGTGAAAAAATGGCGAAAAACGGTGAAAAAACAGCGAAAAAACGGCCAAAAAACGGCCAAAAATGCGCTCAAAACGGGCTCAAAATGGGCACAAAAGTGGGACAAAAAAAGCCCAAAATGGGACAAAATGGGCCCAAAAATGGCCCAAAAGGAGCCCAGAATGGGTCAAACTGAAATGAGAGATTTTGGGACTTTTTGGGAATTTTTGGGGGAAAAAACCAGAAAAAATGACAAAAAACGGTGAAAAAATGGCGAAAAACAGTGAAAAAATGGCAAAAAATGGCCCAAAATTAGCCCAAAATGATCCCCAAAAGTGGGACAAAATGGGCCCAAAATGGGACAAAATGGGCCCAAAAATGGCCCAAAAGGAGTCCAGAATTGGCCAAACTGAAATGTGAGAGCTTGGGAATTTTTGGGAATTTTTTGGGAATTTTTTGGGGGAAAAAATGGCGAAAAACGGTGAAAAAACGGCGAAAAAACGGCCAAAAATGCGCTCGAAACGGGCTCAAAATGGGCACAAAAGTGGGACAAAAAAAGCCCAAAATGGGACAAAATGGGCCCAAAAATGGCCCAAAAGGAGCCCAGAATGGGTCAAACTAAAATGTGAGAGTTTGGGAATTTTTGGGAATTTTTTTGGAATTTTTTTGGGGAAAAAATGGCGAAAAACGGTAAAAAAAGGGCGAAAAAACGGCCAAAAATGTGCCCGAAATTGGCTCAAAATGGCCCCAAAAGTGGGATAAAATTGGCCCAAAATGGGACAAAATGGCCCCAAAAATGGCCCCAAAAATGGCCCAAAAGGAGCCCAGAATGGGTCAAACTGAAATGTGAGAGCTTGGGAATTTTTGGGAATTTTTGGGAATTTTTTTGGGAAAAACCAGAAAAAATGACAAAAAACGGTGAAAAAATGACGAAAAAATGGCGAAAAATGAGCCCAAAATGGGACAAAATGGGACAAAATGGGCCCAAAAATGGCCCAAAAGGAGCCCAGAATGGGCCAAAATGAAAGGTGAGAGTTTGGGAATTTTTGGGAATTTTTGGGAATTTTTTTGGGAAAAACCAGAAAAAATGACAAAAAACGGTGAAAAAATGATGAAAAAATGGCGAAAAATGAGCCCAAAATGGGACAAAATGGCCCCAAAACGGGACAAAATGGCCCCAAAAATGGCCCAAAATGATCCCAAAATGGGTCAAACTGAAATGAGAGATTTTGGGAATTTTTGGGAATTTTTTTTGGGATTTTTTTTCCCAATTTTTGGGTGATTTTTGCGAATTTGAGGTGGATTTTTGCCATTTTTGGGGTGGATTTTGCCCAATTTTGGCTGGATTTGGCAGAATTTTGGGCGGATTTTGCCTTTTTTGGGTTGATATTTGTGGATTTTGGGTCGATTTTACTGAATTTTGGGTGGATTTCGCCATTTTTGGGGTCAATTTTGCCATTTTTGGCTGGATTTTTGTGAATTTTGGATTTAGGCAAAATTTGGCTCAATTTTTCCAATTTTTGAGTGTTTTTTGTGAATTTTGGGTGTTTTTTTCTAAATTTTGAGTGATTTTTGTTAATTTGGGGTCTATTTTTCCAACTTTTGAGTGATTTTTGTGAATTTTGGGTGGATTTTGCAGAATTTTGGGTGGATTTTGCCAGTTTTGGGTCAATTTTTGTGAATTTTGGGTGAATTTTGCCATTTTTGGGGTAATTTTGCCATTTTTGGGCTCGATTTTTGTGCATTTTGGGTCGATTTTGCCATTTTTGGTGTCGATTTTTGTGAATTTTGGGTGGATTTTGGTGAATTTTGGGCGGATTTCGCCATTTTTGGGGTCGATTTTTCCATTTTTGGGGTCGATTTTTGTGAATTTTGGGTCGATTTTTCCATTTTTGGGGTCGATTTTGCCATTTTTTGGTTGATTTTTGTGAATTTTGGGCGGATTTCACCATTTTTGGGGTCGATTTTTCCATTTTTGGGGTCGATTTTTGTGAATTTTGGGTGGATTTCGGTGAATTTTGGGCAATTTCCCGATTCCAGCTGCACAGGTTGGTGTTCAGCCTCCGGAACAGCCGCGAGCCCCGAATCGACCTCGACGCGCCCAAAGAGCCCCCCCAAAATTTGGGGGTCGAACTTGGGGGTGAGAGGGGGAAAAACCCAAATTTTGGAGGGTTTGGGAACAAATTTGGGATTTTTGGGATCCAAATTTGGGATTTTTGGTGCCTGGTGGAATCCGGGGTCCCAAATTTTGGGGTTTTGGGATCAAAATTTCAAATTTTTGGCGTCTTGGGGACCCAAATTTTGTGGTTTTTTGGGGAAGTTGGGAGATCACATTTTGGGGGTTTGTGATCCAAATTTGGGATTTTTGGGATTTGGAGTCTCAAATTTGGGATTTTTGGGGTTTTTGGGATCCAAATTTGGGTTTTTCGGGCATCACGGGGAATTTGGGGACCCAAGTTTGGGATTTTTGGGGTTTTGGGGGTCTGGGAGGGTTTGGGACCCAAATTTGGGATTTTTGGGGAGGTCTTGGAGATTTTTGGGTCCCGGATTTTGGGGTTTCAGGGACCCAAATTTGGGATTTTTGGGATTTGGGATCAAATTTGGGATTTTGGGGCTCTCTGGGGAATTTGGAGCCCCAAATTCGGGATTTTGGGCGGCTTTGGGATCCAAATTTGGGATTTTTGGGGATTTTTGGGATTTGGAGTCTCGAATTTGGGATTTTTGGGGTTTTTGGGATCCAAATTTGGGGTTTTTGGGATTTAAATTTGGGTTTTTCGGGCATCACGGGAAATTTGGGGACCCAAGTTTGGGATTTTTGGGGTTTTAGGGACCCAAATTTTGGGGGTCTGGGAGGGTTTGGGACCCAAATTTGGGATTTTTGGGGGGTCTTGGGGATTTTTGGGTCCCGGATTTTGGGGTTTCAGGGACGCAAATTTGGGATTTTTGGGATTTGGGATCCAAATTTGGGATTTTTGGGCTCTTTGGGGAATTTGGGGCCCCAAATTCGGGATTTTGGGCGGCTTTGGGATCCAAATTTGGGATTTTTGGGGATTTTTGGGATTTGGAGTCTCAAATTTGGGATTTTTGGGGGTTTTGGGATCCAAATTTGGGGTTTTTGGGATCCAAATTTGGGTTTTTCGGGCATCACGGGAAATTTGGGGACCCAAATTTGGGATTTTGGGGCTCTTTGGGGATTGAAATTCGGCATTTTTGGGGTTCCCAGGTGTGGGGGTTTCCAAATTTGGGAATTTTTGTGTCCAACAGTCCCAAAATTGTCAAATTTGGGGGTTTAGGGCCAAAATTTGGGGTCCTGGGGGATTTTTGGGGGGTCGCGAAGAGTTTTGGGGGTTTTAGAGCCTCAAATTTTTGGGATTTTTTGGGTTTTTTGACCCCAAATTTTTCAATTGCAGATTTGGAAGCGGCGCCGGGGGCGGAGCCTGGAGCGGGGGGCGTGGCCTCGGAGGGGGGCGTGGCCTCGGCGGAAGCCCCGCCCCCCGAGGACCCCAAATGGAGCCGATTGGTCAATATCAACGCTCTGGTGCTGATGGGCGTGGCCTCCTTCCTGTGGGGGTATTTTGCCTAAAAAGGCCCAAAATAAACCCAAAATTATCCCGAATTCCTGAATTGCCTCGAATTTGTCCCAAAATTGCCCAAAAATGGTAAAAAAAACGGGATGGAATCGCCCAAAAAATGAAAAAATGGGTGAAAAAATGCTTAAAAATGCACCAAAATTGATAAAAAATTCACTCAAAGTGACCCAAAATGTGTTAAAATAAATCCAAAAATGTCAAAAATTGTGAAAAACAGGAAATGCCCCAAAATGGCCAAAAATTGACCCAAAATGTCTCAAACTGACCGAAAAATGCCCAAAATTGGTGGAAAATGGGATGGAAATGCCCCAAAAATCGATCTAAAAATGACCCAAAATCCATCCAGAGTGACCCAAAATGTCTCAAAATAAACCCAAAAAACTCCAAAAATGAGAAAAAACGGAAATGCCCCAAAATGATTAAAAACGAGCCCAAAAACACCCAAAATTGGCCCAAATTGAAGCAAAATCCACTGAAAGGGACCCAAAATGTCTCCAAATGGACCCAAAATTTCCCCGAAATTTTCACTTTCAAAGGAAAAATTTAATTAAAAGGAACAATTAATTGCGCTCATTAACGCCGTGAATAATAAACAGGACGCTGGTGACGTCATTGGCTCCGCCCACTTTGTGCTGATTCGCGTTAATTGCGGGGAATTAATTGGGGTTAATTAATGGGAAAGGGGTCGGGGAATCGTTAATTAGCGCCGCCCTCATTAATTAAGCCGCTAATCATTAATAATTCGCGTCATGTCGCTTCATTTCCGCGTTGCCATGGCGACGGGGGCGTGGCTTAAGGCGGAAGCGTTGCTGGGGTGGGGGACGGCGCTGATTGGCTGTGGCGTTGCTAGGCGTGTTCTGATTGGCGGAAGCGTTGCTAGGCGTGCTCTCATTGGTTGCGCTATCATAAGAGCGCTCTGATTGGCTCTACCACATCTAGGCATGCTCTGATTGGAGGAGGCGTTCCCAGGCGCGCCCTGATTGGCTGGAGGCGTCGCGTCGCTTCCGCTTCCGCCCCATGTGACCCGCGGCGCTCTTAAAGGGGCCGCGCCCGCCCGGGGTTTTTTTTGGGGCGATTTTGGGGGATTTTGGGGCATTTTGGGGAATTTTGGGGCATTTTGGGGAATTTTGGGGCATTTTGGGGGTCCCGGGGTGGCCATGGGGGAGGAGAACGTTTTCCTGTTCGTGCCCAACCTCATCGGTGAGCGCAAACTGGGAGCACTGGTTTATACTGGGAGGGACTGGGAGGGCACTGGTTTATACTGGGAGGGGTTGGGGGGGCACTGGTTTATACTGGGAGGGACTGGGGGGGCACTGGTTTATACTGGGAGGGGTTTGGGGGGCACTGGTTTATACTGGGAGGGACTGGGAGGGAACTGGTTTATACTGGGAGGGGATTGGGGGGCACTGGTTTATACTGGGAGGGGATTGGGGGGCACTGGTTTATACTGGGAGGGGTTTGGGGGGCACTGGTTTATACTGGGAGGGAATTGGGGGGGCACTGGTTTATACTGGGAAGGGTTTGGGGGGAACTGGTTTATACTGGGAGGGGTTTGGGGGTCACTGGTTTATACTGGGAGGGGATTGGGGGTTACTGGTTTATACTGGGAGGGGTTTGGGGGGCACTGGTTTATACTGGGAGGGGTTTGGGGGGCACTGGTTTATACTGGGAGGGGTTTGGGGGGGCACTGGTTTATACTGGGAGGGGTTTGGGGGGAACTGGTTTATACTGGGAGGGGTTTAAGGGGCACTGGTTTATACTGGGAGGGGTTTGGGGCGTTACTGGTTTATACTGGGAGGGGTTTGGGGCGTTACTGGTTTATACTGGGAGGGGTTGGGGGGGGCACTGGTTTATACTGGGAGGGATTGGGGGGCACTGGTTTATACTGGGAGGGGATTGGGGGGCACTGGTTTATACTGGGAGGGGTTTGGGGGGCACTGGTTTATACTGGGAGGGGTTTGGGGGGGCACTGGTTTATACTGGGAGGGACTGGGGGGGCACTGGTTTATACTGGGAGGGGATTGGGGGGCACTGGTTTATACTGGGAGGGGTTTGGGGGGCACTGGTGTATACTGGGAGGGGTTTGGGGGGGCACTGGTTTATACTGGGAGGGACTGGGAGGGAACTGGTTTATACTGGGAGGGGTTTAAGGGGCACTGGTTTATACTGGGAGGGGTTTAAGGGGCACTGGTTTATACTGGGAGGGGATTGGGGGGCACTGGTTTATACTGGGAGGGGTTTGGGGGGCACTGGTTTATACTGGGAGGGGTTTGGGGGGCACTGGTTTATACTGGGAGGGGATTGGGGGGCACTGGTTTATACTGGGAGGGGTTTGGGGGGCACTGGTTTATACTGGGAGGGAACTGGGAGGGCACTGGTTTATACTGGGAGGGGATTTTGGGGCACTGGTTTATACTGGGAGGGAACTGGGATGAACTGGGATGAACTGGGATGAACTGGGAGGGGTTTGGGGCGCTCCAGATAGGGCTGGACTGGGAGTGCTACTGGTTTGTACTGGTTTATACTGGTTTTACTGGTTTTACTGTTTTTTACTGGTTTTACTGGTTTATACTGGTTTATACTGGTTTATACTGGTTTATACTGGTTTATACTGGTCCAAACTGGTCGTCCCTCAATCTACATCACCCGGGGACCCATTTTAGGGAGGTTTTGGTGGCCAAAATTGGACTTTTACTGGTCCGTACTGGTTTGTACTGGTTTTACTGTTTTATACTGGTCTATACTGGTTTATACTGGTTTATACTGGTCCAAACTGGTTTATACTGGTCCAAACTGGTTGTCCGTCACTCTGCTTCACTTGGGGACCCATTTTAGGGAGGTTTTGGTGGCCAAAATTGGACTTTTACTGGTTTATACTGGTTTTACTGGTTTTTACTGGTTTATACTGGTTTATACTGGTTTATACTGGTTTATACTGGTTTATACTGGTCCAAACTGGTTGTCCATCACTCTGCTTCACTTGGGGACACATTTCAGGGAGGTTTTGATGGTCAAAATTGGACTTTTACTGGTCCATACTGGTTTGTACTGGTTTGTACTGGTTTATACTGGTTTATACTGGTTTTTACTGGTCCATACTGGTGTATACTGGTTTATACTGGTTTATACTGGTCCAAACTGGTCGTCCCTCACTCTGCATCACCCGGGGACCCATTTTAGGGCGGTTTTGGTGGCCAAAACTGGACTTTTACTGGTCCATACTGGTTTGTACTGGTTTTACTGGTTTATACTGGTTTATACTGGTTTGTACTGGTTTATACTGGTCCAAACTGGTTGTCCGTCACTCTGCTTCACTTGGGGACCCATTTCAGGGAGGTTTTGGTGGCCAAAACTGGACTTTTACTGGTCTATATTACATTATACTGGTCTATACTGGTTTGTACTGGTCTATACTGGTTTATACTGGTTTGTACTGGTTTATACTGGTCCAAACTGGTCCAAACTGGTCCAAACTGGTTGTCCCCTCAATCTACATAACCTGAGACCCATTTTAGGGAGGTTTTGATGGTCAAAATTGGACTTTTAAGGGTCAATATTGCATTTTACTGGTTTATACTGGTTTATACTGGTGTATACTGGTTTATACTGGTCTATACTGGTTTGTACTGGTTCTTACTGGTTTATACTGGTCCAAACTGGTCATCCCTCACTCTACATCACCCGTGGACCCATTTTAGGGAGGTTTTGATGGTCAAAACTGAACTTTTACTGGTCTATATTACATTATACTGGTCTATACTGGTTTATACTGGTCCATACTGGTTTATACTGGTTTATGCTGGTTTATACTGGTCTATACTGGTTCATACTGGTTTATACTGGTCCAAACTGGTCGTCCCTCACTCTACATCACCCGGGGACCCATTTTAGGGCAGTTTTGATGGTCAAAATTGGACTTCTAAGGGTCAATATGGCATTTTAATGGTTTATACTGGTCTATACTGGTCCATACTGGTTTATACTGGTTTATACTGGTTTATACTGGTTTATACTGGTCCCAGGCTATGCCCGGATCCTGCTGGCCGCCGTCTCCTTCGGGCTGATGCCGACGCGGCCGTGGCCGGCGGCCGTTTGCTACGGGACGGCCGCGCTGCTGGACGCCGTCGACGGGCACGCGGCGCGGGCGCTGGGCCAGGGTACTGGTTATACTGGTTTATACTGGTTTGGACTGGGACGGACTGGGAGGGACTGGTTTGTACCAGTTTTACTGGATTTTTGTCATTTTTACTCTGTTTTTGCATTTTTTACTGGTTTTTACTGGTTTTTACTGATTTTTATTGGTTTTAACTGGTTTTAAACTGCTTTATAACTGGTTTATACTGGTTTGTACTGGTTTGTACTGGGAGGGACTGGTTTGTACCGGTTTTACTGGGTTTTAGTCATTTTTACTTTTTTTTTGCATTTTTTACTGGTTTTTACTGGTTTTGACTAGTTTAAAACTGGTTTATAACTGGGTTTATACTGGTTTATACTGGTTTATACTGGTTTATACTGGTTTGGACTGGGAGGGATTGGTTTGTACCGGTTTTACTGGGTTTTAGTCATTTTTACAGGTTTTTTTGCATTTTTTACTGGTTTTTACTGGTTTTTACTGGTTTAAAACTGCTTTATAACTGGTTTATACTGGTTTATACTGGTTTGGACTGGTTTATACTGGGAGGGATTGGTTTGTACTGGTTTTACTGGGTTTTAGTCATTTTTACTTTTTTTTTGCATTTTTTACTGGTTTTTACTGGTTTTTACTGGTTTAAAACTGGTTTAAAATTGGTTTTATACTGGTTTATACTGGTTTATACTGGTTTATACTGGTTTATACTGGTTTATACTGGGAGGGACTGGTTTGTACCGGGTTTACTGGGTTTTAGTCATTTTTACTTTTTTTTTTGCATTTTTTACTGGTTTTGACTGGTTTTTACTGGTTTTAACTGGTTTAAAACTGCTTTATAACTGGTTTTATACTGGTTTATACTGGCTTATACTGGTTTATACTGGGAGGGAGCCCCACCCCTGCCGCCATCTTGAATTGACCTTTTTGAATCTTTTCCCTGCAAATTTTGGCCTTTTTCTCCCAAAATTTTGGGATTTTCCCCCAAATTTGGAGCTCCCAGTCCCAAACTGGGAATTTCCTAATCCCAAACTGGGAATGTCCCAGTTCCAAACTGGGAATGTCCCAGTTGGCCCAACCTCCGCCGCCATCTTGGATTTATCTTTTTGATCTTTTCCCTCTGAATTTTGACCTTTTTTTTCCCCCAAATTTGGGGGTTTTTCCCCAAAAAATTTGGGTTTTTTCCCCCACGCCCCACCCCAGTCCCTCCCAGTTTGGAACCGGTCTGATCCCAGTTTGGAACTGGGAATGTTCCAGTTGGCCCCACTCCTTCCGCCATCTTGGATTGACATTTTCGAGCTCTTCCCTCCAAATTTTGACCTTTTTTTCCCCAAAATTTTGGTTTTTTGTCCCAAATTTTGAGGTTCCAGTTCCAAACTGGGAATTTCCTAATTCCAAACTGGGAATTTCCCAATTCCGAACTGGGAAGGTCCCAATTGGCCCGAGTCCTCTGCCGCCATCTTGGATTGACCTTTTTGATCTTTTCCTCCAGATTTTGACCTTTTTTTCCCAAAAATTTTGGTTTTTCGTCCCAAATTTTGAGGTTCCAGTTCCAAACTGGGAATGCCCCAGTCCCAAACTGGGAATGTCCCAATTCCAAACTGGAAATGTCCCAATTAGCCCCAGTCCTCCGCCGCCATCTTGGATTCACCTTTTCGAGTTTTCCCTCCAAATTTCAACATTTTTCCTCCGTAATTTCCCATTTTTTCACCGAAATTTTGACTTTTTCCCCCAAATTTTTCCCCCATGCCCCACCCCAGTCCCTCCCAGTTTGGAACTGGGAATGTTCCAGTTGGGCCTGCCCCTTCCGCCATCTTGGATTGACATTTTCGAGCTTTTCCCTCCAAATTTCGACGTTTTTTCTCCGTAATTTCCCATTTTTTCACCGAAATTTCGAATTTTTGCCCCAAATTTTTCCCCCACGCCCCACCCCAGTCCCTCCCAGTTTGGAACCGGTCTGATCCCAGTTTGGAACTGGGAATGTTCCAGTTGGCCCCACCCCTTCCGCCATCTTGGATTGACATTTTTGAAACTTTTCCCTCCAAATTTTGGCCTTTTTTTCCCAAAATTTTGGGATTTTCCCCCAAATTTGGAGCTCCCAGTCCCAAACTGGGAATTTTCCAATTCCAAACTGGGAATGTCCCAACTCCAAACTGGGAATTTCCCAATTCCTAACTGGGAAGGTCCCAATTGGCCCCAGTCCTCCGCCGCCATCTTGGATTCACCTTTTTGATCTTTTCCTCCAGATTTTGACCTTTTTTTCCAAAAATTTTGGATTTTTGTCCCAAATGTTGAGGTTCCAGTTCCAAACTGGGAATGCCCCAGTCCCGAACTGGGAATGTCCCAATTCCGAACTGGGAATGTCCCAATTGGCCCGAGTCCTCTGCCGCCATCTTGGATTTATCTTTTCGATCTTTTCCCTCTGAATTTTGACCTTTTTTTCCCAAATTTTGGGTTTTTCCCCCCAAATTTTCCCCCCACGCCCCACCCCAGTCCTTCCCAGTTTGGAACCGGTCTGATCCCAGTTTGGAACTGGGAATGTTCCAGTTGGGCCCGCCCCTTCCGCCATCTTGGATTGACATTTTCGAGCTTTTCCCTCCAAATTTCAACATTTTTCCTCCATAATTTCCCATTTTTTTACCAAAATTTCACCTTTTCTCCCCAAATTCTTCCCCAGGCTCGCGGCTGGGCGCCATGCTGGACATGCTGACGGACCGGCTGAGCTCCATGTGCCTCCTGCTGAACCTGGCGCTGCTCTACCCGCGTTGGGCGCCGCTCTTCCAGCTCAGCTCCGCCCTGGACCTGGCCAGCCATTGGCTGCACACGCACTGGTGGGCGGGGCTTGGCGGGGCGGGGCCGGGGCGTGGTCGCCGGGGGGAGAAATGGGGAAAAAACGTGAAAAAATGGGAAAAAAACGGGAAAAAACGGGGAAATTGAAGCAAAAAATGGGGAAATATGGCGGGAAATGGGGGTTTGGGGGCGTGGTTTGAGTGGGAGGGGGCGTGGCTTAGGTGGGAGGGGCTGGGCGTGGTCGCCAGGGGGAGAAATGGGGGAAAAACGGGAAAAAACGGGAAAATTTGGGCAAAAAATGGGGGAAATATGGAGGGAAATGGAGTTTTGGGGGCGTGGTTTGAGTGGGAGGGGGCGTGGCTTAGGTGGGTGGGGCTGGGCGTGGTCGCCGGGGGGAGAAATGGGGAAAAAACGGGAAAAAACGGGAAAATTGGGGCAAAAAATGGGGGAAATATGGAGGGAAATGGGGGTTTGGGGGCGTGGTTTGAGTGGGGGGGGCGTGGCTTAGGTGGGTGGGGCTGGGCGTGGTCAGCAGAGGGAGAAATGGGGAAAAAACGGGAAAAAACGGGAAAATTGGGGCAAAAAATGGAGGAAATATGGGGGAAAAATGGGGGTTTGGGGGCGTGGTTTGACTGCGGTAATGTGGGCGTGGCCACTGTGCCATATATGCTAATGAGGGTTGCTCCATATATGGCAATGTGGGCGTGGTCTTTGCGCTATATATGCTAATGAGGGGCCCTCACTCCATTTATGGCAAGGTGGGCATGACCACTGATAAATATATGCTAATGAGGGTTACTCACTCCATTTATGATGATAATATATGCTAATGAGCGGTCCTCACTCCATATATGGAAATGTGGGCGTGGTCTTTGCACCATGTATGCTAATGAGGGTTACTGCATATATGGAAATGTGGGCGTGGTCTTTGCTTTATATATGCTAATGAGGGGCCCTCACTCCATATATGGATATGTGGGCGTGCCCCCGCTCTTTATATGCTAATGAGACGTACTCCATATATGGCAATGTGGGCGTGGTCTTTGCTCCATATATGCTAATGAGGGGCCCTCACCCCATATATGGCAATGTGGGTGGGGCCACTGATAAATATATGCTAATGAGGGTTATTCACTCCATATATGGAAATGTTGGCGTGCCCTCTGATCAATATATGCTAATGAGGGCTCCTCACTCCATATATGATTATGTGGGCGTGGCCACTGATCAATATATGCTAATGAGGGTTACTCACTGCATATATATCGATGTGGGCGTGTCTTTGCTCCATATATGCTAATGAGGGCTCCTCACTCCATATATGGCGATGTGGGCATGGCCACTGTGCCATATATGCTAATGAGATGTAATCGCTCCATATATGGTAATGTGGGCGTGGTCTTTGTTCAATATATGCTAATGAGGGGCACTCACTCCGTATATGGCAATGTGGGCGTGACCACTGATAAATATATGCTAATGAGGGGCCCTCACTCCATATATTGCAAGGTGGGTGTGCCCTCTGATGAATATATGCTAATGAGGGTTACTCACTGCATATATGGCAATGTGGGTGTGGCCACTGATTAATATATGCTAATGAGGGATACTGCATATATGGCAATGTGGGCGTGGTCTTTGCACCATATATGCTAATGAGGGTTACTGCATATATGGCAATGTGGGCGTGGTCTTTGCCCCAAATATGCTAATGAGGGTTACTCACTCCATATATGGCACTGTGGGCGTGGTCTTTGTGCCCTATATGCTAATGAGGGTTACTCACTGCATATATAATAATTTGGGTGTGGTCTTTGCGCCATATATGCTAATGAGGGTTACTATATATAGCGATGTGGGCGTGTCCCGCCTGACCACGCCCCCTCTGGCCCCTCCCCCTTTAGCTCCGCCCTCCAGGGGGCGGCGTCGCACAAGGCCGTGGGGGGGGAGGGGCACCCCCTGCTGAGGCGCTACTACCAGTGCCGGGTGAGACCGGGAACTGGTTTGTACTGGGAGGGAACTGGGGGGGACTGGGGGGGACTGGGAGGGACTGGGAGGGACTGGGAGGGAACTGGGACAAACTGGGAGGGCACTGGGGGGAACTGGGAGGGAACTGGGGGGGACTGGGAGGGAACTGGTTTGTACTGGGAGGGACTGGGAGGGACTGGGAGGGAACTGGGGGGGACTGGGAGTGACTGGGATAAACTGGGAGGGACTGGGAGGGAACTGGGGGGGACTGGGGGGAACTGGGAACAAACTGGGAGGGACTGGGAGGGAACTGGGCCGGTACTGGGACGTACTCGGATGAACTGGGAGGGACTGGGACGTACTGGGATGAACTGGGAGGGAACTGGGAGGAACTGGGAGGGAACTGGGACATACTGGGATGAACTGGGCTGAACTGGGATGAACTGGGAGGGAACTGGGAGGGACTGGGATAAACTGGGAGGGAACTGGGATGGGACTGGGATAAACTGGGAAGGCACTGGGAGCACTGGGAGAGCATCGGGACCATACTGGGAGCACCGGGACCATACTGGGAGGGAACTGGGAACAACCCAGCGCCAAACTGGGAAGGGGGCGTGTCTCTCCTCCATTAACCACGCCCCTTTTCTGTGGCCCCGCCCCTTTTCTGTGGCCCCGCCCCCAGCCCCTCCTCTTCGGGCTCTGCGCAGCCAATGAGGGATTCCACTGCTGCCTCTACCTGCTGCACTGGGGGGAGGGGCCCGCAGGTGAGTCCCACTGGTCTGTACTGGTTTGTACTGGTTTGTACTGGTCTGTATTGGTTTGTACCCGTTTTATTGGGTTTTACGGGTTTTCGGTCATTTTTACCGTTTTTTTCCATTTTTTACTGGTTTTGACTGGTTTTAACTGGTTTTGACGGGTTTAAAATTGGTTTATTACTGGTTTTATACTGGTTTATACTGGTTTGTACTGGTCTGTACTGGTTTGTACTGGTTTGTACACGTTTTACTGGGTTTTACTGGTTTTCGGTCATTTTTACCGGTTTTTTCCATTTTTTACTGGTTTTGACTGGTTTTAACTGGTCTAAAACTGGTTTAAAACTGGTTTATACTGGTTTATACTGGTCCGTACTGGTTTGTACTGGTTTGTACCCGTCTTACTGGGTTTTACTGGTTTTTAGTCATTTTTACCGTTTTTTTGCATTTTTTTACTGGTTTTTACTGGTTTTGACTGGTTTTGACTGGTTTTAACTGGTTTAAAACTGGTTTATAACTGGTTTATAACTGGTTTATACTGGTTTGTACTGGTTTGTACTGGTTTGTACCCGTTTTACTGGGTTTTACTGGTTTTAGGTAATTTTTACCGTTTTTTTGCATTTTTTTACTGGTTTTTACTGGTTTTGGCTGGTTTTTACTGGTTTAAAACTGGTTTATAACTGGTTTTATACTGGTTTATACTGGTCCGTACTGGTCTGTACTGGTTTGTACTGGTTTGGACCCGTTTTATTGGGTTTTACTGGTTTTCGGTCATTTTTACCGTTTTTTTCCATTTTTTACTGGTTTTTACTGGTTTTAACTGGTTTTAACTGGTTTAAAACTGGTTTATAACTGGTTTTATAACTGGTTTATACTGGTTTATACTGGTTTGTACTGGTTTGTACTGGTTTGTACCCGTTTTACTGGGTTTTACTGGTTTTTAGTAATTTTTATGGTTTTTTTTGCATTTTTATTGGTTTTTACTGGTTTTGACTGGTTTAACTGGTTTAAAACTGGTTTATTACTGATTTTATACTGGTTTATACTGGTTTGTACTGGTTTGTACTGGTTTGGACCCGTTTTACTGGGTTTTACTGGTTTTCCGTCATTTTTATGGGTTTTTTTGCATTTTTATTGGTTTTTACTGGTTTTGACTGGTTTTAACTGGTTTAAAACTGGTTTATAATGGGTTTTATACTGGTTTATACTGGTCTGTACTGGTTTGTACTGGTTTGTACCCGTTTTATTGGGTTTTACTGGTTTTTAGTCGTTTTTATGGGTTTTTTTGCATTTTTACTGGTTTTTACTGATTTTTAGTGGTTTTTACTGGTTTTGACTGGTTTAAAACTGGTTTATAACTGGTTTTATACTGGTTTATACTGGTCTGTACTGGTTTGTACTGGTTTGTACCCGTTTTACTGGTTTTTAGTCATTTTTATGGGTTTTTTTGCATTTTTACTGTTTTTTACTGATTTTTAGTGGTTTTTTACTGGTTTTGATTGGTTTCAAACTGTTTTATAACTGGTTTTTTACTGGTTTATACTGGTTTGTACTGGTCTGGACTGGTTTTACTGGGTTTTATGGATTTTATGTTGCTTTAACCAGTTTCAAACCGGTTCCAGCCGGTTTTAAACCGGTTTTATCTGTATTTTTACTGGTTGAAACCATTTTTTCCGTTTTTTTCTGGATTTTTTTGTTCATACTGGTCTGTACTGGTCCGTACTGGTCCAAACCGGTTCTAACCAGTTTGTACTGCTTCTGACTGGCTTTTATTGTGGTTTAAACCAGTTTCAAACCGGTTCTAACTGGTTTTAAACTGGTTTTATCTGTATTTTTACTGGTTTAAGCCATTTTTTTCTGAATTTTTTCGTTCATACTGGTCTGTACTGGTCCATACTGGTCTGAACCGGTTCTAACCAGTTTTTACTGCTTCTGACTGGCTTTTATTGTGGTTTTAACCGGTTTCAAACTGGTTTTTAACCGGATTTTTACTGGATAAACCATTTTTTTCAGTTTTTTTCCGGATTTTTTGGTTCATACTGGTCCGTACTGGTCCGTACTGGTCGGAACCGGTTCTAACCAGTTTGTACTGCTTCTGACTGGCTTTTATTGTGGTTTTAACCGGTTTCAAACTGGTTCCAGCTGGTTTTAAACTGGTTTTATCTGTATTTTTACTGGTTTAAACCATTTTTTCCCATTTTTTTCCGGATTTTTTCATTCATACTGGTCTGTACTGGTCTGTACTGGTCCATACTGGTCCGAACCGGTTCTAACCAGTTTGTACTGCTTCTGACCGGCTTTTATTCTGGTTTTAACTGGTTTCAAACTGGTTTTTATCTGGTTTTTAACCGGATTTTTGCTGGTTTAAGCCGTTTTTTTCCTGTTTCTTTCCGGATTTTTTTGTCCATACTGGTCCGTACTGGTCCGTACTGGTCGGAACCGGTTCTAACCAGTTTTTCCTGCTTCTGACTGGCTTTTATTGTGGTTTTAACTGGGTTCAAACTGGTTTTTATCCGGTTTTTAACCGGATTTTTGCTGTTTAAGCCGTTTTTTTCCGGATTTTTTGGTTCATACTGGTCCGTATTGGTCCGTACTGGTTCTAACTGGTTTGTACTGGTTCTATCTAGACTTTATTGTGGTTTTGACCGGTTTCAAACCGGTTTTTAACCGGATTTTAACCGGATTTTTGCTGGTTTAAGCCGTTTTTTTCCGGATTTTTTGGTCCGTACTGGTCCATACTGGTCCGTACTGGTCGGAACCGGTCGGAACCGGTTCTGACCGGTTTCTTCTCTCCCCCCGCAGTGTTCCCGGGGGGTCCGGGGCTGTTCCGGTTGGTTCTGTGGCTCTCGGCCCCCCTGGCCGCCCTCAAATCCTTCCTGAACCTTCTGCAGCTGGGCGGGGCCCTGAGGGGCGTGGCCGCCCTGGACGCGGCCGAAAGGGCCCAAAAATCCTCCTGAGCCCCTCCCCCACCCCCGCCCCTCCCCCACCGACCCCCCACCCCCACCAGGGACGGGGGAGGGGCAAAAATCCCCCCCCAAAACCCCCCAAAAATCCCCTCCCCCCCCCATTGGTGGGGTTTGGGGGCGTGGTCGTGTCAAGCCCCGCCCACTTTGGCCCCGCCCACCGTGAATAAAGAGGATTTGGCCCCGCCCCCAACCCAAAGTGTGTGGAGTTTGTGGGGGGGAGGGGAGGGTCCGCGGAAATTCCCGAAATTCCAATGGAAAAATTCCAATGAAAAAATTCCAAAGTTCCGACGGAAAACCCCAAAATTCCAACAAAAACGTCCAAAATCCCACCAGAAACCCCAAAAAATGCACCAGAAAACCCCAAAATTCCACCCCAAACCCCCAAAATTCCAACAGAAAGTTCCAAAATTCCGACGGAAAACTCAAAAATTGCACCAGAAAACCCCAAAATTCCACCCCCAAAACCCCAAAATTCCAACCAAAATCCCAACGTAAAACCCCAAAAATCCAACAGAAATCCCAAAATTCCACCCCAAAATCCCAAATTTTCACCCCAAAATCCCAAAATTCCACCTCAAAATTCCACCTCAAAATTCCACCTCAAAATCCCACAAATTCCAACAAAAAAACCCAAAATTCTGATGGAAAATCCCAAAATTCCAACCAAAACCCCAAAATTTCAAGAGAAAATCCCCAAATTCCGCAAAAACCCCAAAATTCCGACGGAACTCCAAAATTGCACCGGAAAATACCAAAATTCCAACAGAAAATCCCAAAATTCCACCCCAAAATTCCACCCCAAAAAATCCCACAAATTCCAACAGAAAACCCCAAAATTCCACCCCAAAATCCCACATATTCCATCCCAAAATCCCAAAATTCCAAAAAAGCCTCAAATTCCCGGAGTTTTTGGGGGTGAATTTCCCAATCTTTTTGGCCAAGAATTCCCGGATTTTTTGCAGAAAAATCCCAAATTTTTTTGCATTTATTCCTGGATTTTTTGCCATAAATTCCCGAATTTTTGGGAATGAATTCCCAGATTTTCAGGGGAGAATTTCCGGATTTTTGCGGTAAAGTCCCAAATTTTTGGTGTGAATTTCTTGATTTTTGGGGTGAAATCCCAGATATTTTTTCAGTAAAATCCCAATTTTTTCCCATTTATTCCCAGATTTTTTGCCATAAGTTCCCATGTTTTTTACCGTAAAAATCCCAATTTTTTTCCATTGATTCCCGTAATTTTTGCCGTAAAATCCCAACTTTTTTCCCATTTATTCCCTTATTTTTTGCAAAAAATTCCCAGATATTTTTGCAGTAAAATCCCAATTTTTTTTCCATTTATTCCTGGATTTTTTGCAGTAAAATCCATATTTTTCTCCGTTTATTCCCAGATTTTTTGCAATAAATTCCCATATTTTTTTCCGTAAAATCCCAATTTTTTTTCCGTTTATTCCCGTATTTTCTGCCGCGGACTCCGGGATTTTTGGGGCGAATTCCGGGGATTTTGGGCTCACTCGCCCTCCTTGTCCTCGCCGTGGGTGATGACGTAACAAATGTTTTTGTAATCCACGTTCCCGGCCACGTCCGGCGGGAAGGCGGCCCACATGTTCTTGATCTGGAATTTCGGGAATTCCCGGAATTTTGGGAATTTCGGGAATTTCGGGAATTTTGGGAAGGAAATTTGGGGAGTTTTAGGGATTTTTGGGGATTTTTTTGGGATTTTTTTGGAATTTTTGTGGGATTTTTTCTTATTTTTTGGGACATTTTGGGAATTCATGGGGGGAGTTTGTGAATTCGGGAGGATTTTTGGAGAATTTTGGGATTTTTGGGATTTTTTTGGGAAAATTTGGGGTAATTCAGGGGGTTTTGAGGGATTTTTGGGGGATTTTGGAGATTTTTGGGGTGAATTTTAGGGCCGATTTTGGGGGTTTTTAGGTGGATTTTGGGGCTGATTTTGGGGATTTTTTGGGGTAATTTTGAGGCAATTTTGGGGGTTTTTTGGGGTAATTTTGGTGCCGATTTTGGGGTTTTTTAGGGTGGATTTTGGGGTATTTTGGGGCTGATTTTGGGGTTCTTTTGGGCCAATTTTGGGGTTGTTTGGGCTGAT